AACCCACGAGTTCTCACTTTTCCGATTCGCTCCCCCATCCCACTGGCAGGGAGTGAGCGAGCGGCTGTGTGGTGCTTAGTCGCTGGCATCACACCACCGTGACAAACCTTACTCGATTAGCATAAGCAAATCATAGCATGTTTTCTTCTCTGAGCCACCTGCCCACTCCCCCCCAAAAGGACTCGCACAGGAAGAATAATGCAAAAAAGTGGTTACATGACCAGAAATTAAGACGTTACAGCTTTACATTTAAGTATTTCTGTAATGTACTACGCATGTTCCTGTTTTGTAGTTGAAAGTTAAAGTGAGATTTTTAAATCCTTACTGCATTACAACACAGTCATAGCAAGAAAAATTAAAACTTTTACAGTACAGTCACTTTGAATTTGCACATACTATGAGATCAACTACTGTAACATGAATGCCAGAAGACGCTAAAATTAAAAGTTTGTATTTTTTCCGCAAATGCTTCACATTGAGCCACAGAAGACCACAATACACACACGCTTAATATTTTATCAGAATCAGTCAGAAAAGAACTGACCAGATAACTGAAGAGATTCATAACCAAACATTTTCAAAAAATTATTTTTTAAGAGACTGTTTTATACAAGAAAACAAAACATATTTAAGACGAGTCTAAGATACATTCTATTCAGCGGTGATTCTCTCACAGTGTGGAGTATAAGGGATTCCATAGCTGACCACGATTCCTCAAAATTATACAAAATTGAACAGAGATACAGAGATTACATGACAAAAAAAAAAAAAGAACTACATTTAGCCTGGAAGCATGCGACTGCATTTCCTAATAAGGGCAGAAAGGGGCAGAACAAACATCTCATAAATCTAAACATGTCTGAGAGGAGATGTGTTGTTGCGGGGGGGTTGTTTGCCTTTTTTTTTTTTACCTCCAGAACACATCCATTTTGCTTATCCCCCACAATCCACAAGCTCTCTTGCTTCTTTAAAAAAGTTTGTACATTTGCTTTTAAATTAGAGCAGTGAAAGATACAGCCTTAACTTCTTCCCCAATGTCTCCTTACAGCAAGACAAAGTAGCACAACAGAAACAGATGAGGACCATCACGTCCCTAAAACCTCAAAAGCATGACTGAGATTCTACAAGAGAAACTTATTTCTCTGTGGCACAGAATCCAGGCAAACAGTGCCACACGGAAAATCTTGGATGGAACTCAAAGTCTTAGAAAAAACAGCAAAGACCAAAACAGGTAGTAAAAGCCTAGTGTATGTATATGAATATAAAAGGGTAGGGGATTTAAAATTGGGGAAAGCAGAATTCTGAAATAAGAAACAGGAACCAGGGGATCCAGCTAGGCTGCTCAAGACACGAGGTCATGAAGAGGCAAGAGAAACACCAGACTGGAAGGCTGCAAATTAAAGGAGAAAGGTGAATTAAAACCAGTGCACTTATGCACAAATATACAATCATAACTACATTTGAATACTGTTCTGGGCATTTACATCCTTGTTCAGGTGTTGGGAGAAAGTTAATTTCTAGTACAGGCTACTGAAATCAACCTGGCTAAAGAAGCATAAAATGCTTCTGAAAACTGAGCAGAAAAATTAAAAACAGGAATAACTTTTTTCAGTCACGAACTGAGTAAGCGCAATGTTTATAAGGAGTCTTAGTACACATCTAGATGCGCATGCTAAGCCATAATCAAGTTATCTAAATGAAGTAGCCTAAAAAAAATATTTGGAGAGGAGAGGAAGAAAAAGTGGGTAAATTTCAGCTTAGTTTTTCTGTGAAACAGTTACTGCTAAGAAGTGTTAAGAATACTTACCTATCCAGGACTAGAACTTGGATATCTACAAAAAAATTAGAAAAATCTAGTAAGTGACAATGTAAAAATTACATGGTTATTCAATATTTGCTACATAGTATTTAAATAAGGTATTTTAAAAAGTAGTTACCTGCTATTGATGTGCTAAGGGTTCATCTTCACAGGAAAATCCAGAAGTCTACAACGTTTTGAAAAGATTTTAATCCTTTTTTGGTACAAATAAATGTTCAAGCTACTCGTGCCAAGATTCCTGTTTGCACAGCTGTGACTTGGACAAACGTAAAGGTGTTCCTCTGTACTGAAGACTCGATCCTCAGAGATGAAGATTAACGATTTGGTCTTGGGGACAGGCATTTTTCACCATATTCTGAACAGTAGTACAAAAAGGTCACTTACTTGTCCCCAAATACAGTATGTGTACACACTATGAGATACAATATAAGCCCTGAAACACAAGTGCTAAATAGGTTGAGTATTTTCTCGCTGTTTAAGAATAGGTAGGTAGTAAGATGGAAGACAGAGCTATATACACATTAATGTGTTATAAAAAAAAGCAGGGAGGGAAGCACAGCTCTGAGACTTCATAAAGTATCAAATGAGTGCTTTAAGGAAAAAAAAATCAGATACACATTTTCATCAGTACAATTTTAATGCAAAGAATTACCAAAGTTTAACACCAGGACTAGGTACCATTCTAAAGAATGATGGAAAAATACTACTTCGTGATTAGATGCACTAACAGAAAATTTGACAATTACTGCAAAAGATCATCATAATTATAAACCTTACTCACCAAAATAGCACTGCATTGACATATTTTTTTATTTTGCAGTTTTAAGATAATGCTATTCATTTATAAAGAAAAAAGTCCCTGTAGAAATCTCCAAACAGCATGCCATTTCATCTCTGATGCAGAGAAGTCAATTTATACAAATAAATGTGTAGAGTAGCCAGGTTCCAATATAACTCTTATGAGTTTAAGTTGGCAATCTTAATATTAGTATTTCCTGCCAGATATATATTTAGCATACCTCACATGAAATGAGAGTATCCTCTCATATACATCATATTAGCACATTTAGAAACAAGTGACACATGGTTTGTTGAAGAAATGCAGCTTGTACAGCATCAACACTCCACAACAGATTTGCTTGGCACCTACGCCTAGTATAAAACACGCTTTCCTCAGCTGCATCTGGGTATTACTACCGTACTGCTGGAATTCAACTCTTTCTCTCGAGTTACACAATTAGAATGAGTGGCTGGAATGCTATGGGTATTTTGAATAGTCTTATCCTTTTAGAACAGACTTGAAATTTTCTTGAATGCTGTTAGATCCTTTTAAGTTAATTCCTGGCTAAACAGCAGCAAAATTAGGACTCAGACAAAAATAATTACAGATCAAGACAGTCCAGAGTCTACTAACAGAAGGCTGTCCAAATTCTGAATACTGCAGAAATACCAGTTTACTAGAGAGAAGTCAAAACATGTCACTACTTTATATGACATGTAGTTTGTTCCCTTAAGAATAAAAATGTTCTTTGCAATTTTGTTCTCTACTAATTATTCTCCTCCTCTCCTTTTAGCTGCTGGGCCTTTTTACCAATTAAGGAAAACCTACTAATGGACTTTAGCCTTTATTTCTTCTGTAGATTATCCATAAGAAACATGTTTCTTGATTTCTCTTTCTTTGGTAGTTATTTCAAATACTAGTCGCTCTCTCAAGATCAGTTTTGCATATGCTCCTCCGAGGTAGGATAGTTAGGAGCAGTTATCTTGACAACTTTCCTCTTAGTGAAAGACATGAAGAGCTGTGGATAGAAAATAAAAAAGGAAATTTGCAATTACCAAAATTAGCAACAGAATCTAAATTCTTAGCTGAAGTTGTTTATACAAAACAGCTTGTGCACAGTAAGACATCAGACTGCAAAACAGTTCTTCAGCACACTAGTAGAATACACTTTCTAGATCTGTTGGATTATATGTTACTTTTCTGCATGATGTACATCTTTTTGTAAACAGCTCAGAGACTTAAATTACATTGTCAGCCTTCAATTCATTTTCCGCTTTTATAAAACCGGAAAATGTGTTTATATGCCAGCAAGCCACAACGTCAGCTTAGGACTCATCTCAAATTTAGTCCTCTAAACGTGGTATGTGAGGGATTACAAATACAAATGAACTCCTGGAACAGTTTAAAAGTTAGATTGTTTCAAAGCTATTGATTTGTTTCCATAGCCACACAATGAATTAATTCAACACCTGGCAAGAGGGGTCTCCTAAGATGTTTTTAGTA